TCATGCCATCTGTTATTTCGCCTCCATTGATCACCATGTCATCGGGCCTTAGTTACTTCTCGCGGGTAACAGGAAGCAGTGGCTCTTGTACGCAGTCCATTGGCAGCGATGATTCTTGGTCCCATCACAGGTTAGCACGAACCGAGACCTTCTGTATCTCGTCTTTGTCAAGACATGTAAGTCATGTGGAGAGCTCACCTTTTGCAGTGGTATTGCGCCCCAGCAGCCACCGATGTATGGGACCCCGAGCGAAAGTCCTATCATTTACCACCCAAGGTACCAATTCATCTTGTATTACCATTCAGCATCCTCTCCAGAAGCATTGTTTACCGAGGGAAAACTCACTCATAAGCAGCTCTACAAGGATGTCACCACCCCGCATTGAACGCGGACCCATGAACGTCCCGAGTGCTGCCGCGAGGGGCCCCAAACCTATTTCACCGGATTTTAACTTCTCTATGCCGTACAGCGGGCTGCCAGTGACTTCCCAGATCAATGCCAATATAGCTGCACCATCAGGAACTTCACTACCACGCCCCGTCCCTCATTATCCGGAGTGGGACCATCCTGCTCGCTTGCCGGCGGAGTCTTTGAGACGGGAATATGACTTTGCCAGGTCTTTCGAGACGCCGGAATACATGGTTGAGAGGAACAGCCGACGGTCTGGTGAAAAGTTCAAGGGCACAACCCGATACCATTCACAGAGAAGACCATCGAACCGGGATGAGTTTGACGGCCCCCATCAATTACTTGAACCTCCCTCTCCGCGTGTGATCGCGGCACAAGGAAGGGACTTGCCTCATCTACCTACTAATCTTGATGTTTCAGAACAAGATCGTATCCTGTCCTCGGTGAACGACCGACTATCGCAGTGCGCGTTTGACTTTGTTGCAAAGTACCAGTTTCCAATCCCACTGGAGCCTGACAAGAGACAGGTGAGAGTTCCCTCAGACCGTGAATGGACTGAGTGGGTATACCTCCTCAAAAGACTGGCCACCAAGCGGCGGATCCCCGCCAGGGTCCTGTATAACGGCCAGATCAAGCAGTTAGTCACCATACTGGAGAACTCCTTGGAGATGCGCCATGCTGCCAAGCATCAATCCAGGCCCATCAAGGACGATCGCAACGTCCTTCAGCTTATCTCCGCCGGCACGCAGGTGGCCAAGATCTTGAAGGATGCCGCTGCAATGGAGTACCTTGACAATCTTTATGTTGACACGGAGAAGCGCATTCAGGACCGGCGCAGTCGCCGAGTGACATTTGCCGGCCCTTGACCTCGGATATTGGATCCTCAGTGATGATATTAATGAGTTTTCCCTTTTGGCAGTGGCCGCGACTCCACCATGTTATAGACCCATCCGGCTGGAAAAAGCCATTCTGCCATTTCCGTCAGGCGTTTCCCTTGTCCATTGGAGGGTAGCCCAAGGAAGTTACTCCCAGGAGCCACGTGCGTTCGTCTCTCATGGACCAGATGGACCCTTTCCCAGTGACTTTGCCGAAGTGGTGAACCTGAACTCGGTCTATACGAGCAAAGCTATGAAACCGGCGGCCGAAATCCAACTAGAGATTCCCATTCCCAGACAATCCTTGGTCTGGGGACTGACTTGGCCTGATGATAACGATGAAACTATGCCGCTACTTGATAAATCGTTACGCGATCAAGAGTATTCACAGCCCTTTGCATCTATTGACTAGGACTCTCTTCTATCCTCCTCATGATTACGGCCTATATGCGTTCTTTTCTTTTCCATTTCGGGCTTTTCTGTTGTTCTTGTGAGAAACAATTTTCGGGTTTGACTTTTCCCTCGGTGACAGCTACTGTCAATCAGCCCGAGCTGCATGTTTCTGTTCACTTTTTCTTGTGATACACCCTTCAGGTGGATTGTGGTGACTTTCTCATTTGCCTGCCTTGCCGTTCTTGCCCTCCTGTGGGTTCAAGTTCAATTTGTCCATGTTGCTGGCTTCCACTCTACCAGCTTTTCTTTGAATATTGAAGGCTCGTGCCTTGGCCTATCAGTGCAAGACCGGCTGTGTCTCTCAGTGCTGAGGCGGAAGGAACTCCTCTTGTGCATCAACATAGACCCGGGGTCACTGAGACTTATCGCAGAACATGGATGTATTTCTTTTTTTCTATCATTCTATTAGTCTAGAAGTCGAGACGGACGCTCGATGTATTGTCTGCTAATGGGTAATGGGTGCGCACAGTAAGATTATGTCTGGAATGTGCGTGACAGAAGGAAGAAGACAAAGCAATCTAGGTGTACTGTACATTTGTGACAGAAGGACATACAGTCAGTGAGCAAGCGAGATAGCCAAGAGGCAGGCGGCGGGGGCCGTGAACGAGGCTAGCCGTCTTCACCAGACTTCCAAGTACCTCAGAGTGTCCAAATAATACGTATCCGATTCTATGGTATGGCTGAAGTGCAAGGCAAAAGTGTGCTGTGCTTCGAAAGGTACGTGATGGTACTGTGCAGAAAACTGGCTTCATCGGGGGGCTGGTGAAAGCATGAATAGGGAATTGCTCATAATTAGACCTCTAGATCAGCATCTAAATGGGGAAGAAAAGGAGAATAATGTTACAGATAGATCACGCAGTCATCAGCATTCCGCAGCAGGAGTCGTGGAGATTTGGGAAGGAACAAAGGCCGGGGAATGAGGGGAGTGGGAAGGAAGCGTCTATAACCGAGAAATCAAAGCCATCCCCTCGCCTCGCGCCAGACATTGCGAAGAACCGCCCACAGCGAGCGGGGAGCCGGCCGTCGCCTCCAGAACTGCAGACCCACCGCCACCGCCGACAGACCGGCCACCAGGGCCGCGGCGCTGAGCCCCAGGCCCAGCAGGCGACCCTGTCTGCGCACGGCCTGCACCACCTCCGAGTACCGCTGGTTGCTGAAGCTGACGCGAGTGTACTGCGTCTGCCAGCCCAGACCGGGCAGGTAGCGGTCCATGGACTCCTCGACGGCCTTGCGCAGCCGGTACAGCGGGGACTTGACGCCCCAGCGCATCTCGAGGAAGTTCTGCTTCGAGAGGTCGTTGATGGCGTGCGTGTCGGCCGCGCGCTGGTCCGTGTAGGCCTGCAGCGCGCGCCGGCGGGCCTCGCGGCGGCGCTCGGGGTCGTCCTGCATTCCCGGGCTGAAGCTGTTGCTGTAGACGCCGTGTCGGTCCAGGATGTCGAACAGCGTCCGGATGTCCTCCAGCCCGGCGTTGAGGCCCTGGCCGTAGAACGGGAGGACGGCGTGCGCGGCGTCGCCGACGACGACGACGCTGGCGTCGTAGTGGTGGGGTTTGCATTTCAGGCTGATGAGGGGCAGGTGCTGGTTGGTCGTGAACTGTTCGTGCAGGGCCTCCGGGGTGATGAGGTCCGGGCACACCCCGGGGAAGTTGGTGTCGAAGAACTCGATCAGTCGGTCGGGGGAGCTGGCCGAGAGGGTGCCGTAGTGGTCGGCGGGCGCGAAGAGCGTGCAGGTGAAGGACCGGTCGGCCGACGGGATGGCGATGAACATGAACTCCTTGCCGGGCCAGATGTGCAGGTGGTTCGGGGAGATGAGGAAGTCGTTGGTCGCCGGGGACGGCGGGATGCGGAACTCGCACCACAGCGTGTCGATGTACTCTTGCTGGTAGTCGACGCGGGCGAACTTCATCATGTGGTAGCGCGCCGCCGAGTGGGCCCCGTCGGCGCCGATGAGGAGGTCGAAGGTCGCTTCGACTTCTGTAGCTTTGTCGTAGGGATTGCTGCCGGGGTCGCGCCGTTCGAACCAGGCCCGGTTGGCGCGGAAGTCGGCCCCGACGAGCTTGTGGTTGAAGAAGAGTCGCACGTTGGGGGTCTGCTCCAACTCATCCAGAAGGGCGTTGTTCAGGGTGCCGCGGTCGACTGCGTTGATTGCCTGATGGTGTGTTGTTAGACGGGAGCTTTTGCTGGATGCTGGATGGGTTTGGTTGAGGGGCATGTTGGCGGGGATGTAAACCATGGAGGGGAGTAACATACTCGGCCGTGAACGTCGTATGCTTGAGCAGCTTCCCAGAGCTTGCCATCTGTCCGGCCGTGGATCATGCGTCCATGCATGGGAATCGAGTCCGCGAGAACCCGATTGATGAGTTCATCGCGGTGCGACTCCCGCATGGCGTTGATGCCTCGCTCCGACAGCGCCAGATTGATAGACTTTGTGAAGTTTAGCGGAATAGTCGCCGGATCACGCAGATCTGTAGGTCATGTTATTGAGCCAAGTCGTTGAGGCTTATGAGAGCGCAGTTATAGATATCGAAGTGGGGTCGATAAGAAGTGGATAAGGGTCGCGATATGGCAGAAACGACGAACGCAGGTGGAAAATGCATCGAATAGAAACAACAGCGACTAAACTCACCTCCGCGTAGCTCATATACTTCAACATCGTCGCCTCGGGCTGCTGCATAGAGAGCTGCAAGGGACCCCACCGGGCCTGCGCCCACGATGACAACTTTTTGTTTGGCAGGTGTGGAATGTGCCATGGCGGGGGGCGAAGTGACGATCAAGGGAGAGTCGAAAAGAGGAAGTCTCACGACAGCTCTTGAAGTAAAGGAGGTAAAAGCCCACAGACCCTAGAGATGTAGGTATACAACCTCAGGCAGTTCTGTGCTTCTGCAGCTCTTGGCTCGAAAAGTCACAGTGTGGCGTGATACAACAGATTACAAATTGAGATGTTGACTGGTTCCAGACTGGTTTTGATGCGTCACAAACTCGGAAGAAGAAAAGACGGCCGGCGGAGCCCCACATGCCGTTTTCTGCCATTCATCTCCTCCAATCAGCCACTATTCTCCGATCTATGTTTCCGAGACACGTGATGTAGACGCGCGCTTCCAGATCAGCCGCTAGACTCTGTCGGGATAGCGGTCCCATGCCCTGCGCTAGACCGTCTTAGGAATGGTACCTAGTTTTCACTTCAGTTCTGCCTGGGTTGGCGGAACGGCGATTGGCGCCGCTCAGCCGCGGGGGATTGTCCCATTTTTTCCCTCTTTGCGCTGCGGAACATTTCCATACCCCTTCGGAAGCATCGCTATTTCTGGTTCTCTACCTCCTTCTCTGCATTCTAGACACTTTCAAGATGACTGCCGAAGTCACTGCCCGGAAATGTATCGGTGTGGATTGCGATAAGAATGCTGGAACGCTACAGTGTCCAACTTGCCTTAAACAAGGGACGGATAGCTTCTTCTGCTCGCAGGACTGTTTCAAAAAGAGCTGGGTATGGATTCCTTTTGCCTCTCTGCGACGCTTGTCCTCCGACTATGGCTAATCCCCTCCTGCACAGAGCGAACACAAGACGATTCACAAGAAGAGTAATTTCCTGAGCAACCTCTTTACACCCAAAGTAGTTTCTGAACCAGATCCAGCCACGGGGCTCTACAACCCCTTCCCTTCCTACCCTTTCGCCGGTGACTTGAGACCCGTATATCCGCTGTCCCCCCGGAGAACCGTCCCCAAGTCCATCCCTCACCCCGACTACGCCAAGGATGGTATTCCCCGGTCCGAGCAGAAGTTCGTTGGTCGTCACAACATCACTATCCTGAACAAGGAGGAGCAGGAGGGTATGCGCAAAGTGTGTCGCTTGGCTCGTGAAGTTCTGGATATCGCTGCACGGGAGATCAAGCCTGGTGTCACAACCGACTACATTGATGAGGTGGTCCACAAAGCTTGCGTTGAGCGTGATGTAAGTGGTGTCATGGTCTGCCAGCGGAGGATGCTACAAAGTGCGTTTCTTGAATGACCTTCGAAACTAATGCGGCCTAGTCCTACCCCTCGCCGCTCAACTACGTCAACTTCCCCAAGTCGGTATGTACCTCAATCAACGAGATTATTTGCCACGGTATCCCCGATCAGCGCCCCTTGGAGGACGGCGACATTGTCAACATCGACGTGACCCTGTACCACAACGGCTTCCACGGCGATATCAACGAGACCTACTACGTCGGCGACAAGGCCAAGGCCAACCCAGACGCCGTCCGAGTGGTGGAGACCGCGCGAGAGTGCTTGGACCAGTCCATCGCGCTGGTCAAGCCCGGCATGCTGTTCCGAGACCCCGGTAATGTGATCGAGAAGCACGCCAAGTCCCGCGACTGCAGTGTGGTCAAGAGTTATTGTGGTCACGGTATCAACCAGCTCTTTCACTGCGCTCCCAACGTTCCCCACTACGCAAAGAACAAGGCGGTCGGCACGGCCAAGCCCGGCATGTGCTTCACCATCGAGCCGATGATCAACCTGGGTACTCACCGCGACCGTACGTGGCCGGATGACTGGACCAGCTCCACTGCCGATGGCAAGCTGTCCGCTCAGTTTGAGCACACGCTGCTGGTGACGGAGGATGGCGTGGAGGTCCTGACCGCTCGCCTGCCGGACTCGCCTGGTGGCCCCATTCCCATCCCCGTGGCTGAGGAACCCAAGACAGACGCATGATTTTCATTGTTGTCAGAGAGATAGAGTAGAGCATTCATGAAGAGATTCTGTAACGTCCATGTAAACGAATCGGTGTGTTTTTCTGTCCTTTGAATATCGGCGTCACTCCTTTGGAATTGTGTTACTTGGAAGACATGCATAGCCACAACTATTATGATCAACTTTCCCTTTATTCTCATGGAGGTACCTATGATACCATGGATCTCGGTCGTCTCTCTACAGCATGGCTTCACTTCCAACCCCAACCGGCCCGAACAACAACCTCGGCGATGGATGGGGCGGTAGATGGATAAGGAGCAGAACCAATACATTAATGATGATAGCAGATAAGTAATGGCAGGCGGATAACCTCCGACGGTCGGACCTTAATTGGGAATAGTAGCGCATCTTATCACGATTAGGGCCTCAGGCAAAGTGGGGGTGGCAGCCTGATCCGCCGGTGATTTGTCAGGAATGGGTGGGGAGGCTTATCAGCACGTGAGCAGCACTATGAAGCACCTCATAGTCCAAAAGCCTCCCTCGTCTCATCTTTTTTCCTTTCCTGTTCCTGCAATTCATGCGCATATTGGCTTGCTAGTCTCTGACCAGTGGAGACAGTGCCGGAGTCAACGATGCCAGCGGAAAGAACCCCGACGGAGACATCCCCGTTGCTGGGCTCTCAAAGTAACACTCAATCCACAGGGACTATCTCCAATATCGGCGATGTTGAGGCTGGCACCCAACAGCTCCCCGCGCGGGACGAGGAGGAGAATCAGACCAAACTTGCGTCGGAGGCACGCCCAAATCTGAAGTATATTCTGCCCGCTATCTCTATAGGGGTATGTATCCTTGCTTGTTATTCAAATAGACATAGTGCTAATGCATCTGGCTAGATTTTCCTGTCTGCGGCCGATCAGACCATCATCATGGCTAGTTATGGTCAAATCGGTAGCGATCTCAAGGCCCTGAATCTGACAAATTGGATCGCCACTTCGTATTTCTTGACTCTGACTTCATTCCAACCTCTCTACGGGAAACTGAGTGACATTTTTGGTCGCAAAACCTGCCTGTTGTTTTCCTATGCCATTTTCGGGATCGGCTGTCTGTTCTGTGGTCTTGCGCAGGATATCAACCAGCTCATCGCTGCACGCGTAAGCAACCCTGCTCTTCTGTACTCGCTAGATGCTAATCAGTAACCCTACAACAGGTTTTCCAAGGTGTCGGAGGCGGCGGTATGACGACTGTAGTGAGCATCCTCATGAGCGATATCGTGCCTCTCCGCGAACGGGGTGTGTGGCAAGGGATCATCAACATGATTTACGCGACCGGTGCTGGAGTTGGCGCACCTCTCGGTAAGACATTCGCGCTGCTATCTTGTGCTTTCGTCTGACCGGTCACTGCAGGTGGCATCTTGGCCGATTACATCGGCTGGCGATGGTGAGTCCACTTTCTTGTTTCAGACCAACAAACCAGACCGCTTACCCTATGTCACCAGGGCATTCATCGCGCAGGCACCCCTCTGCGCCCTTGCTTTCGTCGCCGTTACCGTAATGCTTCACCTGCCGGCCGTGGAGGATAGTCACTGGCGGACGAAACTCGGGCGCATCGACTTCCCTGGGGCGATCGTTCTGGTGGGAGCGGTGTTCGGGTTCCTCCTGGGACTGGACCGCGGCAGCAACGTCTCGTGGACGATCCCGATCACGGTGATCTCGCTGAGCGTGTCCGGGGCGCTGTTCGTGCTTTTCGTGGTGGTCGAGTGCTTCTACGCGGCCGAGCCCTTCGCGCCGGGCCACATCATCTTCAACAAGACCTTCTTCGCCGCCTACGGCTGCAACTTCTTCAGCTTCGGCGGCTGGATGGCTGCCCTCTTCTACATCCCGCTGTACTTCCAGGCCGTCGACGGCGTCTCGGCCACGGTCGCGGGCCTGCGCCTGCTGCCCAGCATTCTCGCCGGCGTCAGCGGCTCGCTCTTCGCCGGCTTCGTGATGAAGTGGACGGGCAAGTTCTACTGGCTGACGGTCTTCGCGTACGCGCTGCTCACGCTGGGCCTAACAATCACCACCCTCGCCTCCGGCGGTGCGTTCGAGAACACCATCGTCATGGTCCTGGGCACGGTCTTCTGTGCCTTTGGAAACGGCATCGGCGTCACTTCCACGCTGATCAGCCTAAGTAAGCCAGCCCTGTATCCCTCATCCCCCGGAGCTCACCGCTAATCTGTCTGGAATAGTCTCCAACGCAACCCCCGAGGACCAAGCCGTCGTAACAGCTTGCTCGTACCTCTTCCGCTCGCTCGGCTCCGTCATCGGCCTCTCGCTCTCCTCGACAGTCGTGCAGCAGGTCCTCCGGGACCGGCTGCAGTGGGCCCTGCGCGAGAGCGACGACATCGACCGCATTGTGGCCGGCGTCCGCCAGAGTCTGGATTTCATCAAGACGCTGGATCCCGCCGTGGCCAGGGTGGTGCGCAGCTGCTACGGCTGGGCGACCAACAAGAGCTTTGCCTTTGTGGTGGGGGTCGTGTTTTGCTCGTTTGTGTCGAGTTTGTTTATTCATGAGAAGAGGTTGGCGAGGTGAGGTGGGCTGGGTTTGCTTGTCCGTGGGATATGGTTGTTTCACGGTCTCTGGGGATGGAGGGGGATGGTTCTGAGGTATGCCTCTGGCTATGTTTGTTGAAAAGTTTGGTTTGGTCTTCTTAGCGTGAGGAAAAAGGGGGGTTTAGGGGTGAGGGGCTTTGGTGGTTAGAGGGGGCTAGAGTTACTGTCATGCTTAGATGGGTTCATGAATATGTCTAAATTATAGAGGATATGATGTCGTACAAAGCCTGCAAGTTATTTACTGTATCTGGTGGCCATCGGCGGGAGTCAGAGATCAGGAGGTGTCTACAGATGGAATCACGGTGCTCGAGAGCTGGTAGCTAGCTTCGACCCAGCCAACATTTCAGACCTCTAAAGCTCATCCTCTGGTGACACACCAGAACGCAATGCCCACAGAGCGCCTACATACTATATACATGGACGGAAGAAATGCAGGCGCAGGTTCCTCATCCACCCCCTCCATTACTTATGACTTATATACTATCCTCAAAACTCCCGAGGAATCAGAAGCATCTACCGAATCTCAGCCTTCATAGCCACCACCTCCCCCGGCCCCAGGATCTGGACCCGCCCCATCCCATCCGCCCCCTCCTCATCCAGCACCACCCGATACTCCTCCTCGACATAAAGCGGACTCGTCGCGCGGTAGCTGATCCTCTCCGGCAGCGACAGTTCTCGGGAGGATCGCGTATCGCGCCACAGATCCAGCATGGCAATCAGGTTCAACGGCCCATGCACCACGATATCCCTATGGCCCTCGACCTCGCGCGCCCACGGCGTCGAGTAGTGGATCTTGTGCGGGTTGAAGGTCAGGGCCGAGAACCGGAAGAGCGTGACGGGGGTCTGGCGGAGGGTGCGCGTGTGGGTTTTTCCGGTTGTCGTGGTGGTGGTGGTAGCTGGCTTGGGGAGTTCGGTTGTGGTGGGTGGTGGTGGTGGGGTGGCTGTTTGGGTTGGTGGTAAGGGGGAGGTTAGGGCTTTGCGGAAGATCCAGTTCCTTTTTTGGCCCTTTTTGGTTAGTTGGTGTTGCTTTGAGGGGTGGGGCGTGGGGAGGGAGAGGGGAGTTGAAGGGCGGCGCGGGAGATTTTGGGGGACTTTGTGCAGAGGAGATTATAGGGAGATTGGGGTCTGGGGTTGGGCGAAACGCACCTCCGATCTACAACCGCGATTCCGTCCTCATTGCGGAACTCCTTCTCCACGCCGACCACGATCATCTCTTCGCCCGTCTTGCCGATGACCTTGGGCGAGGCGCTCAGCACCCGCGTCGTCTCGCGGACCTCCTGGCCCACTCGGAGGAGGTTCGGTTGGCCGGTCGTGGCGTCCCGCGGCCATTGCACCTCCCCGCCGGCCCACATGCGGCGGGTGAAGGGGGCGGCGGGGTTGTAGGAGGTGTCGGTGCCGTCGATACCGAGTTCGGTTTCGAGGAATGCCGGGGTGAAGTAGACGAGGTGGTAGCCGGCCGGGAGTGGGGTGCCCGTGGGGAGCGGCGTGGAGGCGTTGGACAGGGATGGCGAGTCCGGGAAGAGAGAGGGCCGGTTGAGAGTGAGCGAAAGGAGCTGGAGTTGGTTGGCGTCGAGGACTTGCGTGCGGGTTTGTGGGCCGAGGGATTGGAAGCGCGAGAGGAAGGCTGTTGCAATGGCGGATGCGGAGGTGGAGGTGGAGGTGTTGGATTCCGTGCGGAGAGGGTGGTGGATGGAGAATTGGCGGCTGGGTCTTGCTTTATCGAGGCAGTTGTTGATCTGAAGGTATCGGAGCGAGGGACATCGTGTCATGGAGAAGGACATGGTGGAAAGTGAGCAAGTCGTGGGGTTGAGTGCTTTTGATGTTGTGGAAGAAAGAATGAGGAATGGGGAGCAAGTGGAGAGATCTCCAACTGGATTCCGCGGGGAGAGCCATTTTATACCTCGGTCTCAATGGGTCTTTCCGAGACCGGGCACTTTCCGAGTAGCCGATATGCTCGAGATCAGCGTTTGACCTGGGTACGAAGATCAGATAGGCATTCAAGATAACGCAACCACTCTAGTGAGTTTTGAACTGAGCGAACTAGAATTGACCATCGTCTTGAATGTCTGGCTGTATGTACGTTCTTCTCGCGACTGTTTGCAGTATATAAGTACCGTCAGATAGCCTCGAGAAGCCAGCCATCTTCCGAGATGACCCACTCAGTGGATCCCTTCGGCATCTCGACTAAATTCCCGTTCAGCCCAGCAAGCCCACTGTTTGAACACTGTTTGAAAATATGCAGATACTATAGACATGGTATACCTTGGTATGTACTGTACTTTGGAAAACCCCCAGGATGCGCCCAACACATATCCTGCCATCCACCCTCACAGCTTTACCTGCCCAGCCTGCAATCGACTCCAGTCATTCCGCTCAAATGGAACGTATTGGCTGCCCTGCAGCCAGTACAATCGGTCGTCTGCAGCAACCAGTGATGGGTCCACTCCTTGCGATTGCAAAACATGCTTCTGCTGCTTGTTGTTCCCGGTCGTCTGCATAGCCCGCGTGATGCGCAGAAACTGCGGGGCGGCATAACGCGGCAAGTTCTTCAAGACATGCGCCGACAAGCTGCTCAGTGTGTCCTGGGAAGGAGGAATCAGAGTGGTGGAATCCTCAGCGCGAGTCTGCTGTCGAAGAAGAATCGTCGCACAGCCAGCCCGGCCATCGTGGTGGGGAAGCGCCACCCCGTAAACATTCGCTTCATGCACGTCTGCATGGCCACCGAGCACTTCGGACACCTCGGCAGTCGATACGTTCTCGCTCTTCCAGCGGTACGTATCGCCCAAACGGTCGTTGAAGTACCACCGGCCCTCTTTGTCCCATCGAACTAGGTCGCCAGTCCGGAAATAGGCGTCGCCCTTGCGCAGAACATCCCGAACGAGCTTGCTATCCGAGGCCTTGGAGTTGTTGAAATATCCGGTGAAGGTCTCCTTGGGGTCCGTGGGGTCCACCGCCCACAGCAATTCTCCAGGCTCACCTCGAGGCATCGCTTTGCAGAAGCCAGTCTTCGGGTCGCGCCAGAGCTGCTGCGAGACTTCATCAATCTTGACAACCACTACGCTGCGCCGGAGAATCCATCCAGTGAACCCTCCGTTCCGACCAATAGCCCCGGCGGTGAAATCGTTCGAAGAAAGATTCCATGACCCGGAGGTACCCTCAGTAGATGCGTAAAACTCGGCGATGGTAGGGATATTGAAGCGCTGCTTCACACGATTCCAGATGTCTGGACGGAGGCCGTTGCCCACTGCCAGGCGAAGGTTATGCTTCTTGTCCAAATCCTCCCCAGTGACCGGGTCGAGAGCAGGCGGCACAGCAAGGAGGTATCGCAAGGTCTCCCCCACGTATTGGATGATTGTCGCATCACTTTCCCGTACCTCTTGCCAAAAGTTGCGCGCAGAGAATTTGCGACCAATAAGGGCCGTGCAGCCAGCCCAGAGACACGGCATGACAGCCAGCAGAGAGGCCGATGAGTGGTATAATGGCATGGACTGCCTCAAGTCAGCAATCATTCTCAAGGCAAAAGGGATAACCTACTGTATAATATCGGTCCGTGCTCTGAAGACCGAGCCAGTTCGTGATCATGATACCCGAGCTCCAAGCTTTTCTCCAGCCGATTATAGCAGGCTTGGGAAGACCAGTAGTCCCACTTGTATAGATAAGCAGCGCTGTGTCCCGCATCCTGATGCCATCACGGACTTTATCGTCCTCTCGAATGGGCTCCATTTGTAGGATCTGCGATTCTACCTCAGGTGTGAAGAAAACCACATCCAGAGATCCTTTGCCTTCTCGAAACTTTGGAGAGGCGAGGTTCTCAAGCTGTTCAGGAGGGATCTGGGCGCGCAGCTCCTCATCCACCAGCAGCAACCTTGCGGATGAGGTCAAGATGGAATGCGTCAAAGGATTCCCCGATAGGTTGTAATTGATAAAAGCGGGGATGGCGCCGATGCTCCATAGACCAAGCCAGATGAAGATGAAGGTTGACGAGTTCATGAAGTCCATGGCCACAACCTCCCTGGCTTTGACGCCATGTACATTCTTCAGCCAGGTACCATACTGCAGTGCCGTAGTGTAAGTCTCTCGGAAAGTCCAGGTGTGGCCGTCGTAGACAAGAAACGGCCGGTCCTTTGTTTTGGGGTTCAAGGCCTGGTCTTCGAGCTTGTAGAATAAGTTGACTTTATCGCGACGCTCGCCCGACCGGAGATTGAAGGCAATCTTGAGAAGAACCTTGATCAATATGCGATCATAGAAGAGCGAGTACTTCGCATTCACATAAGCGAGGGTAGTGACCACCGCCGGCCCGGCAAGAGACAGAGGGACGTCTAGCTAAGTCAGCGATCTGAAACCGTATACATTTCAATCTTCTAGCATAATCACCAGGAATCTCGAGCATGTTACCGAGCCACTAGACAAGTGACGAGGGCTCTGGGGAGTTGAGATGGCCGAATGGGGGAGGGGTGGGGGGAAGAGGACCTCAAATCTCGCACGATACTCCAACAGCACAGAAGCCAGAAGAAAGTGTCAGTGGATGGGGGCAATGAAGGTATAAAAGGAGGAAAAGAGGGGTGGTGGGTGAGTATCCATTCTTCAGAAAGCTCATGGTTCAAACGGGGCAGAACAATGAACGTCAGACATCATACCGGTTCATACCTCGGCTGGAAGACTATGCAGAGTAAGTTATGCATTGAATGAACTTCTCCGGTATGTATGGGGGATTAAGTTAGGGAGGCCCCACCACTAACTCGGTACGTAACTTACCCACCCACAATACTCCATCACCGATCCCATCAAATGATCGACTCCACTGGATCTCATACTATCTCGATTTGATGATACTCATAGAAATATGACACGGTTATCGTGCACCTCGCCTTGCTGCCTTCTGCTCATTGAGTATCGACCACTTTTCCCCCGAGGAGTATATGACAAGAGGAGTTATTACAGTTACGGTATGTCCGCTACTTCAGCCTAGGTTTCACATGGCCAAGCAATTTAGGCGTTCTGAATGTTACTCGAGTGTGCTGTGCATGGATACTAACCAGCTTCGAACAATAGTTAACCCTTGTTCGTAAGCGACCCTGATAGGCATCTCGAACAACGAGATCGCGTTAGCATGGCAGCCATGAATAGCTTTGTGGACCCCCCCCCCGGGACCTACAGTTGTATTTCCAATCCACCGGCTGTGGGTCTCTGAAGCTTGGAGTCGCTTAGCATGACAGCAACAATAGTCATATTTATCCTTGGGCTTTAGTGAACCTCGGTATAATAATAAGAGCACTGTTAGCCATTGGAGTAGGCTTTCGCCACCACTCTCGAGCAGAGTCAAGCCAAGGCGACCATTTTGTAGCCAGCGAGTGATAGGTAGACCAAGCTGGGCCATAGACTAGAGGGTGCGACATGGATCAGTCACGTTGAAGGTGATACTAGGCTTCAGATTGTTGACCACTAGACCTAGACCCTCGTAGTCGCGGTATGAGCAGCGTGCCTAATGCGGGGGCGTGTGTCAGCGACTTAGCCCTCGGATCTATGCGTGTCTTCGGTCCCCAATGTACAGTTTCCCGGGGAGGGGCGTGCACGAATAAATTGGCCGTCTCACAATCCCTTGAAGATCGTGCTTGATGGAAGATCGCTATTTTTATGGGGAAACATGGCGTGACAATATTCATAAAGACTTTATGATGCTTCTTGGGGTATCTGACGGATGATGATTGTTCAGCAAGCAATCTGGATGAAAACTACAGTAATAATAATAAGTAGTAGTATCGAAAGACAGGTACTCCAAAGGAAAAGTAAGATTTGACAGGAATTTGACCTCACACAATGCAATTTTGAATTCACAATCGAGGCAAGTATTGCGATACTACCTTAGTTTGAACAAAATCAAGAATGCGTTGATCGAGAAGGGACTCCAGACAACCTTGAAGACAGTTCCTGGTACCTGTGTACCTGCTCCAGGCTGGCAGTGCTACGTAGGTTCCCGAGAGCTATCATTGGTGCCCCAGGCTGTCAGGCCATGGCTTCCATTAGCGCATCTCCGCCCTCGTCATCGCCCCAACCGGTTTCCCTTCCAACCTCCGACCTCCTCATCTCTCTCTCTCGCCTTCATCAACTTACCGCCTCTTTGCATTGTTTTTGTTGTGCCTCTCATTTCCATCCACACAAGCAATCTCGGTCCTTCTTCCTGGTACTTTTCTTCTTGCCCAGCCTGTTGGTAGTCTTCTTCTGTTAGGGAAGCCCGATGCACCACTTGGCTTCTTGATTACTTCGGCGTTGCTCGTCACTTACTCCGCATTGGCCCTGTCTCCGGTGCGCACCCCAATCGATATTTGCCAGCAATCTCGCTTTCTCTCTGGGTACACCGTCGCTGACACATTTGCTTTCTTTCTAGCTCAGGATGAGGCTTCCCTCAATACTACACCTTTCTCTGGCCTTCGGGCTCTCGTTATCTGCATCTGCTGTTGCAGCGCGGAGCAACTACTCCGAAGCCGAGCTAATACCTCCGCTCTTCTCCACCTTCAGCGATCGGCCAGACGGGTGCCCTCCGTGCTTCAACTGTCAACTAGACGCCTTCCAATGCGCCCAGTTTGCATCATGCGATAGGTTTACAGGGAAATGTGTCTGTCCGCCCGGTTTCGGAGGCGATGATTGTGCACAGCCGTTGTGTGGATCGTTGGCCGATGGCCACCAGAGGTCTCCCGCGAAGGATGGACAGTGCGCATGTAAGGATGGCTGGGAAGGTCTCAATTGCAACGTCTGTCAAACGGACGATGCTTGTAATGCCATGATGCCAGAAGGAGAAGGCGGCGTCTGCTACAAGCAAGGTGTTACTGTCAAGGAGAATTTCCAGATGTGCGATGTGACGAACCGCAAGATTCTTGACCAATTAAAGGATCGCAAGCCTCAGGTTACATTCTCCTGCGAGGCGGAGGACAACACGTGCAACTTTCAGTTCTGGGTTGGCAAGGTAGAATCCTTCTACTGCGGCCTGGATACGTGTCAGTGGGGACTGGAGACGACTCATAACCAAAACAAGACTCACTACACGTGCGAAAACATCCACTGCGAGTGTATTCCTGGACGCATGCTGTGTGGCGAGGAGGGCTCCATTGACATTGGCGACTTCCTCCGAGAATCGATCGCAGGTCCGGCATCGTTCTCGTCCGTCTCAACCGTGGGAGGTAGTCCCGACGATGGAAGCAAGTTCCAGGAGCCGGCCATGGATGACTTGATCAAGGCAGTCTTTGGCGACAAGAGTATCACGCTGAACTGCAACTCAGGAGAGTGTTTGTATAGGACAGACGTCCCCGGATATACCCGCCCTGTCAAACAGATCAACACTCCTCTCATTGCTGGCGTCATTGCAGGATGTGCTCTCTTCGTCGTGGCCGTGATCTTAGCAGTATGGTACTTGTCACGCAGATCTTATGGCCGCATACAATTGCCCCTCTCCGACGACTCGGATGATGAGGCGGCCAAACTCCTAGCCGAGCACAAGCCAGCAGCCCTGTACTGGGACAATGTCTCATACTATCTTAACGGGAAGGAAATCCTCAGTGGGATTCAGGGTGCATCTCAACCCGGTCAAATCACGGCTATCATGGGTGCTTCGGGAGCAGGCAAGACCACCTTCCTCGACATCCTTGCTAGGAAGAACAAGAGAGGCACGGTCCGTGGTGAATTCTATATCAATGGAGAGAAAATCAGCGACCATGATTTCAAGTCTATGATTGGCTTTGTCGACCAAGAGGACACCATGCTTCCTACTTTGACCGTGCATGAGACCATCCTGACTAGTGCGTTGCTGCGGCTTCCTCGGGATATGAGTCGAGCTGCAAAGGAACAACGAGTATTCGAGGTCGAGAAGCAGCTTGGAATTTCACACATAAAAGACCAATTGATCGGGTCCGAGGAAGGTAAAGGCCGAGGCATCTCTGGCGGTGAAAAGCGACGAGTAGGAATCGCTTGCGAGCTGGTCACAAGCCCCAGTGTACTCTTTTTGGATGAACCCACTAGTGGACTGGTAAGTTGTGGAGCCCCGATGCATGCAGCATTCGCTTATATGCTCAATTAGGACGCGTTCAATGCTTTCAATGTTGTGGAATGCCTGGTCACTCTGGCAAAGACGTACAACCGGACTGTCATTTTCACCATCCATCAGCCGAGATCTAACATCGTGGCTCTATTCGATCGACTTATTCTTCTGGCTAAAGGAAAAACTGTATATTCTGGCCCATTCTCGACATGTCAACAATACTTTGACCAGGCGGGATACTCTTGCCCTCCGGGCTTCAATATCGCTGATTACCTGGTTGATCTGACGATGCACGCCAGTGTTTCTCGCTCTTACAGTGACGAAGTCGGATCTCCTTTGTTGAATGCGCGTATGGATCCACCGAAGACAGCTTCGAGCAGTTTGAGAGCGGTTAAATCCGTCGCAAGCGCCTCAAATGTAAGCTTGGAGGATAATTCTAGCAGCACCCTGGAAGCAAACCGACGGCCTAAGAGTCAACGGCGAGTCTCGCTCAAACAACGACAGGACAGGCAACTTTACTCACGGAAAAAGGATCCTGAGACACCTTCTACACCCAAAACGGATGAAGAGGATGTGCAATTGGATGATGTGGCGGACAACACTCAGCAATGGCTTCGTCTCTCCCGTCAACCTGCTATTATACCGAACCAGACTCCCGAAGAACCAGATCATTTGCCACCTGTCGCTCCAGGCCAGACAGATCTCGATATCCTGGTCTCCAATTACATCTCGTCGGATATTGCCCGTTCTGTGCATGACGAGATTGTGGCCGCCATCCAGAATGCTCGGGCGGCCAACGGCTTTGCCAACGCGGAAGCTCTGTCTGCTCCTCACGTTGCAACTTCTAAGGGCTATGCTCGGATTGGCCTCTTCCGCCAGTTCATGATTCTCTCACAGCGGACCTGGAGGAATCTGTACCGCAATCCGATGTTGATGCTTACCCATTATGCGATCTCCATTCTGCTTGCTGTCCTGTGCGGTTACCTCTTCTATGGACTGACTGACGACATCAAGGGCTTCCAGAACCGACTGGGTCTTTTCTTTTTCATCCTGGCATTGTTCGGTTTCAGTACCCTCACCAGTCTGACCGTTTTCTCGTCGGAGCGACTTCTTTTCGTGCGTGAGAGAGCCAATGGCTATTACCACCCGATTACCTATTTTGCGGCTAAAGTGGTGTTCGACATCGTACCTCTCCGACTTCTGCCCCCAATTATTATGGGAATGATTGTGTACCCAATGACGGGACTGATTCCAGCCTGGGGCGAATTCTTCCGGTTCATTCTGGTGCTGGTGCTCTTTAACCTTGCTGCCGCCAATATTTGTCTTTTCATTGGTATCATCTTCCGTGACGGAGGAGTGGCCAACCTGATCGGAAGTCTTGTGATGTTGTTCAGCCTCCTGTTTGCTGGTCTTCTGCTCAACCACGACGCGATTCCCAAGTCTGCTCTGTGGCTACAAACGGTAAGTTTGCCACCAATCCATAAGTATTTCCTCATTGTACTCTGCTGACCGCTCGTCTAGCTATCTATTTTCCACTACGGCTTTGAGGCATTGATTGTCAATGAAGTGACGTATTTGACCTTGATCGATCACAAGTATGGATTGGATATAGAAGTTCCGGGCGCCTCGATTCTGAGTGCTTTTGGGTTTGATACCCTCGCCTTGTGGAAGGATGTTATCGGGCTGGCCGTCATCTCCGGCGCCTTCATTGTGATTGCATATGGCGCGATGCATATCCTGCTTGTTGAGAAGCGGTGATAGTAGTATATCTTTCTCATTTGAGCGAAACCCTAGGTGTGGCCTTGATACGTTCGCGTATTATCTGGAGCCTTTGGTTCTAGGACTTTCTTACGTTATGTACTTTGTATGATGGAATACGTTGATGAGACCTCTTCTTTGTGACCCTTTCTCTCTTTCGTCTGTTTTCAATTTGTTTTCGAAACCATGAATTCCAAGCTGTCAATGACCAGTATATTGTATATAGACGAATGGTCATTGATTTGATCCCGATCAACCCTGTCGCAAGCCATCCCTTTGCGGAACGAAGCACGTGTTCCCCCCACGTCATAAGTTGGCAGTCAGCAAGCATCATGGCAGGCTAGTTTGCACGTGAATATTGAGAAGGGGTCGGACCCAACAGGTGGGGTAGATGTGGAAGAACAGACTGAGAATAAGGTCGCTTGGATTAGACTGCAGAAGGACACAGTTTCCTCTCATCGAAATTGAGCTACAGTTCTCTTTGCTCCTCAGGCTCGCAGTCGTAGTATACTGACTGGTACGTCAGTCCGTACGTCAGTCAGTCCGGGCGGGCGACATGCTGAGGATGCCATAAGCGGTGACGGTTTCCCCAGACCGGTTCACCGCCTTGGCCAGCTTCCCTTCGCGGCTTTTCCCTATCGGGGCGAATCCACAACCGACTCACTTATGAACTTCATCACCTGCTCGCATCCTCCACCCTCCCCTACTACTACTCTTTTCTCCTCTCTTCCTTTGGTCTTCCTCTCGTAATAGCGCTTACCGTCGGCCTCTATTGCTTTTCAGCACGTCTCTTACTCTATTCTTTTGAGTCTTTGCTCTTGCGGTCTTCAATAACTATCTCCCAGCCCCATATTCTTGCCCACCATGTCCGGTGAAGCCTGGCTCTATCTGTTGGCGGTGTTGATCAACGCCGTCAACTTATTTCTTCAAGTCTTCTTCACGATTATGTACAGCGACTTGGAATGGTAAGAACTGAATTCCTTGCACATTTTGACTGGCAACAACCCAAGCCGGGGCTTGTGATTTGACTGCTTCGGCGAATGCATCGCGACGGAATCTATTCGAAGAGCGACAGCTAACTTGACTCTTCTTCTACAGCGACTACATTAACCCGATTGACCTCTGCAACCGTCTCAACGCTTATATTATCCCCGAAGCTGCTGTCCATGCATTCCTTACCATCCTCTTCGTCATCAATGGCTACTGGGTCGCTATTGTACTCAACTTGCCTCTGTTGGCGTTCAATGCCAAGAAGTGCGTTACTCTCACAACCACCGCCCTCGCAGGCGCGACGGGTCTTTTGATATGTTCGCTGACCACATTTCCCCTGCCACAGGATCTACGAGAACCAGCACTTATTGGATGCGACCGAGATCTTCCGCAAGCTCAACGTGCACAAGAAGGTCGGTTTGCCTCGCCCATCGGCTTTACGTCACACATTCTTGGCGAAGTGCTCGCTAACCATCTTACAACTATAGGAATCCTTCATCAAGCTGGGCTTCCACTTGATCATGTTCTTCTTCTACCTCTACAGCATGATCGTTGCTCTTATCCGCGACGAGTCGCACTGAATTCGCAACAAGGCGGACCACGCGATGCGCAACGGCCGCCCTGGCTAATGTATCGCGGGGCGTCAAGCCTTGTCCTTTCGTTGAAACGGCCTGGATGAAGCATGGTTCTGCAAGTATCAACCTCGCTGCTGCATTCCGATTGGGTTGAATTCGCTACACTGCAGATATCCGCTGGGATGCATTCGATGCGACCGGGCGCCTGCAGCAGGAGAACTTGTATATGATGTGACTATGAAAGATTATCATTGACGACAACGACAATGTGAAGGTGAATTTGAGCTATTGCGGTTTTGGCTTTTTTAACCCCGAACTCGAGGAGTGGATGATGGAGGAGCTTCCTCCTATCGTGCGTCAGGGCCTTGGTCCTTGAGGCTGCGTGTGTGTGTTTGTGTGTGTGTGTGTGTGTGTCTAACTTTGATTTGCTTTATTTCTGCTTTGGTTCTCTGATATTGTTATATTCCTTGTTGATGTCTTCAATAATGCTGTATATACCATCAGCGGTGTGACAATGAAGAGCGTACGATACCCTAGGTGATTCGGAATACCATCCATCTCCTGATGGCTCGGATGGGGTAGTTTGACATGATTTGTAGACCTCTAGGATGTCAAGTGTGGCCCTGACTAACCCGTACCTATCCATAGGCTCTTACATAGAAATATGGTCCTCTCGGTCATTGTAGACGAAGCGAACCCGGCGGGCACTCCGTACCGCAAAGGCGGTCATGACCGCGGCTTCCGCCCGCCCAAGTCGCCGGAGAACCTCGACAAGCCCGCATCATCCAATCTGTCTACCTTGTGTCAATACGTGTCAAAAATCTGTTCACCTGATCCAGTACCCTGCATATCTCATTACCGAAGCAGGCTGATATTGACAGAAATGCTTCTGCTCGCCTAATAATCCTCTTTTTCCCTTGGCCGCTATGTCGGACGCCCGCCCTAGGTTGGCTTTGTCACGATACCGTCCGATTCTCTACCTTCTCTCCGGTGTAGCAGCAGCCTACGCAATCGTTTACATACGGCAACACCTCCTTCACCCCGGGGATACTGGCGCGCATCCTTCTCCTGGTGGCTCACGTCTTCATCGCCGCCGCGCTGTGCGCCGCCAGCGACGCAACAACAGCAGTAACAATGAACTCCCCGACGAGTCCTTCTCAGCCGCGGCGGACACTCCCTCATCGCGCGCCATCGCGCACCTCGAACAGCTCGAGCGCCACAATGGTGTATACGGAACCTTCCGTATTGAGACCGAAGATGGCCGCCGCGTGGAGAGCGGCCTCCTTCCATCTCTCCTAGCGACGCGAGACCAGCTCATGGAGCAGGTCGGGGTGCCCCAGGACCACGCGGAACGGATGCGGGAGATGATGGAAGATACTTTTCTGGAGTCTTTCCTCGCGCTGGATTTCCCGTCCAGTCACCGTCTGGACGAAGGCAGCCCCGAGCGGGAGTATCTGATCGAGCAACTCCAGCGGCGGGGGATCTCACGCGCGGGCATCGAGCGGGCCCTGGTCCGGTTCAATGCGGACGATAACTACGGGGCGGATCTGCGACGACGACGGCAGAATGGCGAGCGAGTCACGCTGTCGACATCGAGCTTTCCGTACGAGACCGAGGAAGGCCAGTCGCCAACGGCCGGGGCGCCGAATACTGCGCTGGCGGACGGTGGGGATGAGACGGTCGTGGATGACCAGAGCGTCTTCTCGTGGCGCGACGGCGCGGAACACAACAATGAGGCGGCGCCGATGCGGGAGGGCCAGAACCTGCTGAACCTGCTGTATCACATCGCGGAGGACCAGGCGAGGAGGGATGGGTATATTCACCGCGGGGTGACGTGTAATAGCTGCGGTGCGATGCCGATCCAGGGCATCCGGTATCGGTGTGCGAACTGCATCGATTATGACCTGTGTGAGACATGTGAAGCCATGCAAGTCCATATCAAGACGCACATGTTCTACAAGGTGCGCATCCCCGCGCCGTTCCTTGGAAGTCCACGTCAGTCGCAGCCGGTGTGGTATCCAGGGAAGCCCACGATGATGCCGCGCAGCTTGCCGAGATCGTTGTTCAAGCGGCTGATGAAAGAGACCGGGTTCGAGAATACCGAGCTGGACGCGCTGTGGGATCAGTTCCGGTGCCTGGCAAATCACGAATGGGAGGACGATCCGAACAAGGTGTATATGGCCATCGACCGGAAGACGTTCGACCGGTGCTTCGTGCCGAACACCTCTCTTAGGCCACCGCCCCCGAGTTTGATTTATGATCGCATGTTCGCATTCTACGACACTAACAATGACGGGCTAATCGGCCTGGAGGAATTTCTGAAGGGTATCGCGAGTCTGAACAACAAGAGCAATGACGAACGACTTCGCCGTGTCTTCCGGGGCTATGACATCGATAGTGATGGCTTCGTTGAGCGGAAGGATTTCTTGCGGATTTTCCGAGCTTACTACGCTCTCAGCAGGGAGTTGACGAGGGATATGGTTGCCGGCTTGGAGGATGATTTCCTGGAAGGCGGCGCTCGGGATGTCGTTCTTGGAAGTCAGCCGATCAGTTCAGCGTTTCCTGGTAGCATTCCCAATGGGGAACCCTCACGGACGGGCGAGGGGAAACGAGTCAATCATGACGGAGATCTCGAGATTGTTGACAACGAGGGTGTACTTCGTCTCGATGGGACGGATACTGGGGACCGCTACTCGGTGATTGGTGATGCTGCCGTTCGAAGCTATTATGGCGTCACACGGCCGGTGTTGCCGACGACGCGCCACTCTGTCGCCGGTTCTGCTCATGCTTCTGGAAGCCAACCGAGAAGAGAGACGAATGTTGAAGAAGCCGGGGCTGCAGCTGATGATGCGTCTAGTTCGTCTGGAGCCAGCGACCGCTGGCCTCCCCCGGAGCACATCCGCAATGAGGACATCGTCAGTGCTCTCGGAGCTTATGTTCCGGTCCATGAGATCACAGATCCTGTTGATCGGGCTCGCATCGGCACAGCCGTATACAACAGGATGTATGCAACGGATCAAGTTCGTCTCCACGTCAGGCGCCGAATGGGAGTTCATGACCGATGGAGACGGCGGGGATTCTACACGGACGAAGAAGATGGTGCCACCGCCCCTGTTGGCTATCAAAGCGACATGGACGCGGCTAGCTCAGAGGAAGAGGAAGAGAACGAGGGCGATGAATCACACGCAGCCGCATCGGAATCACACCCCCCGTCCCCTCGTTCTCGCTCCTCATCCAAGGTGCGATTCCAAGATGACCTGACGGACGACTACGACGTGAGATCGAACCCATCAACCTCATCGCGAAGCATTCTCGTGAGTGAGCGATGGGGCGGCTTCGAAGTTCCTGAAGTGGAAAGGGACGTTGGAAAGGAGATCTTGTATCAAGTCACCCAACAAGGGTTCAACGAATTGCTCGACATCCTCTTCAAGCAGAAGGAGGACCTGCTCATGGAGGTCTACGAGACTCGTGCCGAGCGTAAAATCTGGGCCCGTGAGATTGAACTTACCGAACAGATGGAGCATGGTAAACATGCTGCTCAAGATCTCCCCATCATGCGGCCGGAATCTGAAGCCGATGAGGACGCCGCTGAGGCGGAGGGAGCAGAGGCAGCCATGCAGAACATGCTCCGTGACAGTTCGCTGGACGACCTCCTCCAACGGGCAGGATACGCCGTCGAGGGACTAGGAAACGTGCAGGCTTTAGCTCCTCCGACGCCAGACTTGCATATCCCTGATGACCCGGTAGAGTCACTCATCGACCCTACCGAGACAAGACCTATTGCAGCAGCAGCAGCATTGGCGTCACCATCGAATATGCCTGAGGGATCTCAGGACAACGAGGACTGGATCCCGCCTCACGCAATCTCTCCTTCCTCGCCCTCCCTCTCTGCCTCCTCTGTTGCCTCCGAAGAAGAAGCAGCAGCAGCAGCAGCAGCAGTAGAGAGTAGGCCTTCGTCCGCCGCGTCATCATACTACGATCCCACACTCCCCCACCACCGTCCCAACGAGGAAGACCTCCTTACGACCACAACCACAACTACCTTCCACCAAACCACTAGCCGCAGCCGCAGCCGCAGCCCATCCCCATCCCCATCACCGGCCCTCCTCTCCCGCCACCGCACCGACCTCCCCACCGAGCTCCGCCTCGACCCCACCGGCTCAACCTCCTTCCCAGCGCCCACCTCCCACCTCCCGGCCTCCTCCCCCGACGCCGAGGCCACCGCCCCGAAACTCTCCCCGTCGCCCATCCAACCCCTCCCGCCCCCGTCCTCCACCCTCCCGAAACGCCCCAGTCCGACCCTGCCGCCGTCGCCGGTCACGCTGTCACGCTGGGCGTACCTGAACCGGATCGAGCGCGAGGCCAAGGAGCGCGGCGGCAGCGGCGCGAAGCTCAACTTCGAGGAGTTCGCGCAGCGCATGGCCATGGATCGCGGCCGCACTTTGGCGTTCGTGGCGAGTTGGATCGAGATGGCGAGTTTCTAGCATCCTCGTCTGCTGTTCGGTTGTCTGGGTGGATCGGAGCATCTGTTTTGTGTGTATATTTACAGTCGTCTATTCTAGCCTTTCCGCGGTGAGAATTGGTTGGGGAGTGATTCAGCATTCACGAGATTTGGGCGAGTGGCTAAGGCAGTCAGTTGGGTGTACAGCACACATCTTTCTTTCTCTACTCTTACGTCCCTCCGTGATAGGCCAGGCAGCAACTCGAGGAAGATAGTCTATGGACGTTAAGCGTTGCAGATTGTACAGTACATAGCACATAAATTAGTGGGGTACCTATACGTGACAATGGAAGAAAGAAAAAAAAAGGCCTTCATATGGAAGCGACATTATACCATAAACTCCTTGTGTGCCTTGAAGGAATAAAAAAAACAGATAGATAAGGCCCGTAAGAGGAAATTAATCCCAGTAGCGAATAATCCCATCCAAGCCACCGGTAACAACCTTGCTGGTCTCCTGGGGATGCCAATCGAGACAGGTGGTGGCGCCGCCCTCCTTGCCGCCGGCGAGGATCTTGTGGTACATCTTGCCGGTCTTCCAGTCCCAGAAGCAGACGTAGCCGGCGCTGTCGCCGGAGGCGAGGAACTGGCCGTCGGGGGAGATGCGGATGTCGATGCCGTAGCCGGCATTGTTGTGGCCGCGGAAGCTCTTCTTGCGGTTCTGGCGGAACTTGTCGGTGGCGCCGTAGACGACGATCTGGTTGTCGCCGGACTGGAAGGCGACGTACTTGCCGTTGGGGTGCGGGGTGGCGCGCGTGAGGGCGAACATGTAGGGCTCGGCGATGAACTTGATCGGCACGGGGATGCCGTACTCCCACGCGCGCAGCGACTTGTCGTCCGAGGTGGAGATGAAGCGCCGGTTGTCGTCCACGAAGGTGATCGTGTTGATCGCCGCCAGGTGGTGGTCGTACTCCTGGACCAGCTCGCCGGACCGCGTGTCGAACTGCACGATCTTCTTGTCGGACATGCCGGCCAGGAACTCGTGGGAGAGGTCCGGGGCCGGGTTGAACCGGATGACGTGCGGCGTCTTGCCCGTCGAGAACCGGCCCACGCACTTGCCGTACTCGGTGTCCCAGAGCTTGATCTGCCGGTCGTACGAGGCCGTGAGGAAGGTCGTCCCCGTCGGGTGGAAGTCCGTGTCCGTGATCGCCTTGCTGTGGCCCGAGAAGGTCCGCAGCAGCTCGCGCGAGTGGTACGCGTCCCAGATCTTGGCCTTGCCGTCGGCGGCCGCCGACAGGAGCAGGTGGCCCGACCGCGGGAAGAAGCGCAGCGAGGTGATCGCCTTGGTGTGCGACTTCCACGTGTGGATGAGTTTCTTGGGAATGAAGTTCTTCGTGCTGCCGGGCTCCCGCCGGAGGTCGATGTCCAGATCCTGCGGGATGTGCATGTACGTCCGGCCCTGGTAGTCGAACTGCTCGCTGCCGTGGAACTCGGTCGTCTCCGCGGTGGTCGAGTCGTCTTGGTAGTCGGTCGCCAGTTTGTCCATGGGTGGGGGGATGTGCGCGGGGGGTGCCTGGGCTGCGTCCACCTCGTCCTCATACACGTATTCTTCGTCGCTGGCCAGCTCGCGATCCTCCGCCTCGTCGCCCTCCACGGCCCGCTCGTCGTAGTAGTGGTCGTCCGACTGGTATTTCGCCCACGGGCCGAGGTAGGCGCCCTCCCCTTCGACGATGCTCGGGTCGCCCTTCCGCTGCCGCTTGGAGCGCAGCGCCGCCGAGACGGCCTTGGACGGTTTCATCTGGATCACGTCACGGCCGCCGAACTGCGCGGCGTGGGAAAGGTTGCCGACGAACTGCTCGGGCTGCGTCGGGTTGCGCGTGTAGCCGAGACTCTGGAAGGTGCGGTGCTGCGCCGTGAAGGTCGCTTCGCTGATAGCGGCCTCTTCGGCGTATCCGGTGGGCACATTCTTGCGCTTGAGGCCGTTGGCCCCTCCGATGGGTTTGAACGGGTTGGCTGGGCCTTGCGATGGTCGGGAGAGGTCGTCGTATGTGGCGTTGTAGGTCAGGGCGGTGGAGGAGGTATTAGCTAGCATCATCTGCATGTGTGCTTGATCCTGTGGGACTGTTAGCTACGCGAGGTTTTTGGAGGTGTTGTAAGATGGCGAGGAGAGTTCGAATTCCCCCAAGGCCATCCAGCGGAGAGGGGATCTCAAGGGACCAAACCTCTGTGTTCACTTCGGGCGCGGCGACAATCTTGGTCGCAGACGGCGCGGGGGGTTGGGTCTGAGGGGCGGAGGGAGTGGTGTCATCGTCGCTTGACTCATAGCCAGCTCCGAGTAAGGACGACATGACGACTGACGGGGGTTGCGATCCGAATAAGAAACTGGATCGTTGTTTATCGGAGAGATGGAATGAAGCTATCGGAGGCTGCTCTGCAACCTATCACTTTCCTCCGGGTCGGAGCCACAATGTTCCGTCCTATCTATTTATCACTACTACAACATAACCAAGTAACAACACAGTCGACACGTTCATGCATGATGTTATATACTTCAATTAATGTGGTCCTCTATCCTGATTATACTGTTCGTACAAGGTAGCACGGAGCAAATGCATGTTACTCAATGGAAAGGATCTGTCAATACAGCACAAACCGCACCCCCCGATGCCACTCATCTCATCTCATCAGTATCCGGAGTACTCCGTACTTAGAACCAATTCTCCTGATCTCCATTGTGGCTCAGGAACAAGCCACTATCCTCGATATCCAGATGCTCAACCACCTGAAGGACCTTTCTAACACTCTCTTCCGGCAGAATCTTTCCCTCGAGGTCAGGCTTTGCTGCCTGGAACTGCTTCAGCAAGAAGTTGTCCGCTTCCACTACCTGGGCGGGTTTCTCTCCTGCAATGATGGTATATCAGTGATCTAATCTGCTTGCAACAAAGGGAAAGCTACTTACCCTCCCACGTATCCACCCAGCCAGGGCTCACCGCCACGACCTTGATGCCCTTCGGCGCCAGCTCTACGGCGTACTTGGCGACTTGAACATTCACGGCGGCCTTAGCGATCGAGTACGCGACCGCCACGCTGACAGAGGCTTTCTTGATGAAAGCCGTATCGGCCATCCCGGTGGAGATGTGCACGATCTTCTTCTGGGTGCCCTTCTCGATCAGGGGCAGGAAGGCGTTGGTCGCCCACAGACCGCCGTAGACATTCGTACTGAGCGACGGCTCGAAGCTGGCCCGCATGGCCTGCGCATCAAAGGGCATCTGGGTCGGGGTGTAGGACATGGAGGCCGCATCCACGGCATTGGAGTTGTGGATCAGCACGTCGAGCGTCCCGCCGGTGACGGCGGCTGCGGCCGCGGCCGCCTCGAGGATCGACTGGGGGTCCGTGACGTCGCCTTTGATGGCGTGCACGTTGGGGTGCTTGGAGGTCAGGTCGGCGATCTCGGGCGACTCGGGGTTGCGCACGATGGCCAGGACTGTGTTGTTTGTATCGGCGGCGAGTTGGCGCACGAACTCGCGGCCAATGCCCTTGGAGGCTCCGGTGATAGCGTAGGAAGACATTTTCTTCGATTGAGATGGGGAGATGATCTGTTCAGATGACTTTGCTCAGACGAGTGGATTGCTGTGTGATGTGTTGTTGATATCATTGTAAGAATTAGTTTCGATTTGACTTCCTTATATACTCTTCAAGTCCTCGTATACAGTGATGCTTCATAGAGTGGGCGGGAATCCAACCCGCTCCGACCGGACGATCCGTTTCCGCCCGGTCCAATTGATCAGCAAGCTGGGACGGACCGGCGGGCATGGATCGGTCGATCCAACTCGACCGGCCGCTCCGTTCCCCGTCCTCCTTACTGGATGACATGATGAACGCCCCCATACCTGCAGTCAAGAGAAGGGCATGTGTGACATGCACCGCAGCCAAGGCGAAATGCACGCCGCAGACTGCCAACATGTGCCAGCGATGTGCTCGATTGGGCAAATCATGCACTTACCTCGACCTTCCGCAGACGAAACGGAGGCATAAGGCTGCTGCACCGAGGTAGGTCCCCACTTCCCCCACCCACACTCCTCACATACAGAACTATAGCACTCGCGGGTATTGATCATGAGAATCATGGATGCAGCCGTGTGGAGGTGCTAGAGAGGAAGGTTGAACAGCTGATGTCGCAGCTGGTTGCCTTGACTCAACCGAACGGACACACAACGTCGGACGATGCGTCGACTACTACGCCCACGACCATCCACGATGGGGTTCCATCTCGGGATGCGGATGCAGATGCAGATCTGGGTTCGACAGACATTGCCGCGATGCTAGACGCGGCCAAAGACGCCTCGCACGGCCTCGATCCGCCGACCGGCTCTGCGTTGGCGGGCCAGCCGTCCCTCGTCGAGCGAGGGCTCTTGAGTGCAGCCGAGGCGGAGCGCTTGGTCACGACCTTCCAGCGCGACTTCGTGCTCACCTTCCCCTTCGTCGTGCTTGCCCCCGGCGAGACAGCCGCTTGCCTCCGGGCCCGCGAGCCGTTCCTGTTCTTGTGCGTCGTGGCCGCGACCATCGGCAGTGCGCATCCGCTGCGCAAGACCGTCGCCGCGGAGATCATGAAGCACGTCACTTGCAGGGTCGTGGAACACTCCGAGCGAAATCTCGAGTTGCTCCGCGGTCTGTTGGTCCACTGCGCATGGTACTCGTACCCGGCAGAGAAGAACCATCCGCGACTATTGTTGTTGATTCAATTTTGTGTTTCGATGGTGCATGATCTGGGACTGCACAGGAAGCCGGCCCTAAGTGCCGATGAGCAGCGGGCGCTGCTCGGTACGTTTTGCGTATCGGTTGGGTGAGATTTTCAGCGCTGGTTGCATGCTCTTCTTTGGGCTAACTCTATGTTACATCAGTGTCTATAGCACGCTTGACCGCCCGATTACCATGAAGCATAATAGTCGAACCGAGGAGTGCCTCGCGGGCATAGCATCTGCCGAGCGTTCGTCGGATCGGTGGATTGCGCCGTTCATCCGCCTAGAGACCTTCTTGGTAACAATGGATGAAGTTTACGCTTCGGTACAAGCAAGCGGCGGAAGTATGCTTGTCCAGGTCACGCGCGGCGCTCTACGGCGGCAATTCGATAGCTTGAGCGCGGACATCGAAAAGGATCTCTCAAGCTACCCTTCATCGACAGGTGCGTCCTCTATGTCCTCGAGGCAATTCGACGGTCGACGGAATTGACACAGACCCCCACAGCGAATGCGATCCGCATTGAGATCAAACATGCAGAGCTGCGGCTCGAGGAACTATCTCTCCGGGAGGACCTGTGGACCGCCGAGCCCGCGAGCGCAGTCCGGACGACGATGTTGATGGACCTCATCCAGCGAAGCAAGGAGCTTATCCGCACGGCCAGCCACCTCCCCGTGTCGGAGATCGCCCAGGTGAACATCACTACAACTGCCCATGTATGCGCCGCCGTGGGCTACGTGCCCACCGCCGTCTTCACCCTTCTCCGGCTCATCACTACTACTAATACCACCGACGGAGGCCCTATCAACAGCGGCTCCGCCATAGAAACCCAGGTGCAGGCCGTCGTCGACGCAGCCGACTATCCCAATCTCATCACCGAGCTCGCCAACACGCTGGACACGCAGTTCGAGGGCATGTCGACGGCAGCCAAGGAGGCGGACGTCACGGGCAGCCTGTGCTTGAAAATGCGGCTGCTCGCCCGGTGCTACCCCTACCAAATCCGGGCTGTTGTGGGCAGTGCGACTGTGCCCGCCAACCAACCCGCAGTCTCGAGGCACGATCCGTCGATGATGGCGGTTGACGCCGCCAATGAGGCTACCATGCCACCACCACCCCAGATCTGGCCGTCGGTCTACGGCGACGACAACTTGGAGGATATCTTCCCCGTCGATGACATCCAGTGGGATTCTCTGCTGAGCAATTTTACGGGGTTCGGCTGAGGGCTAGCCGAGCCGGATTCGGGATTCCTTTTGTGGGAGGGAGGAGGGGGGTTATGTGCTTCGGGCCATTGATATACAGTGATTTCCTTTAATAATGAGGGAGCTTAACTTCTCTGTGGATATACTACACCTGTTCAGTTCTATATGCATAGGCATAAAGCCTACGTGGATCGATACATATTGTAGGAGGTTACGAGATCCCCGGTCGTGGGATGATACCCGGTGGGAACGGGTGGAACGGGTGGAACGGGGCGGGACGGATCCTCCGGCGCGGGTGACCGGGTGGAATGGAGTGGAGTGGAGTTGGCAGTCTGAAAAGATCGGGGATGGATTTCTAATTAGCACTGGGGAGATTATGCATCCACTTCACTGCTCGTAAGTCTAGACGATGGCACGCAGTGTGTTCCTGAACCTCGTAGAAATAGTTAGGAAATTCAAATATCTTTGCTGACTTTCGGTCGACGACACTCCCCGCTGCGGGCTCAATCACCAAAGTTCGGTGTCAAGCCGCATCTAAAGTGTGAGTGAGCATGGTAAGGGCACGTGCTTAGGTGGGTATAGTAAATATCCCGCAATGTACATGCGACAGAGTAGGGGAGGTTTTAGATTTCGAATTACAAAGAGCCTAGGTGTTAATGTACCGTGGAGATTCGGCATGCAATTTACAGGGTAAAGTCATGTGTGTCGGCCGATTTCACCATTATGCAAGCAATGGGATTGTGAAAGACTCTATAGTTATTCTGTGCGAGCTAGGTAAGGCTATTGACATCGAAACCTGAAAAGAGTCTCATGAAATTTCTTCCGGGGCCGGTTGTTACGAAGAAGGCAAAAGGTGGGCCGGAGCAACGCCCTTACCACATTACTTACTAGCTAATCTGAGCAGGACATTCAACTGCCTCCTAAGAAAGTCCCCCGAACTTTTATCCACAACAGGCGTTAAGAGCGTGAGACCCCCTCCCACCGCATGCTGCACTGCCTGCTCTTCCCGCCGCGGATCGTGACAGGACAGGTCCCTGGCAGGCCTAATCCAATCCAATTGGCAGCGATGGATTGCAAATGGCTACGGAGCTTCGAATCCCCATCGGCCAGGTCCAATGAATCTCGGCATCGAAATAGGCCACTCAGGTTACGATCCAGATTCATCGCCTCATGTGCCAAGTGACTGTCGTGCTCCACTATGCACATCTCGTAGTACCTGGACCGAGCAAGTGTACCTTGTAACCTGAGGGCACTTTGCTTTTGCTCCGGACTCCAAGAAGCAAGCCCAGCTAAGCTGGGGAGCGGATCGCCCGGATTGTAGCTGGGAGGGGTTGCTAAGAACCTGGGGAATCGCGTTTGAAGAAACAGGGGGAGGATTGCGGCGGACCGCCAGCCGATTATCCCAAGAATTCTTGTAGGGTCAGTGGCCGAAACGAGAATGTTGTCAAGCGATAGACCCGGATGCCATAAAGTGGGCTTGGAGACCTTTAGGATGCGGTGATCCGAGCATAAAATAGGTAATATGGTCGAAATGCTCTCAAGCAAGTCCTGGCCCTCTGGGTCCGGAAGGTCGGGGTTTTCGTGCATTGTGGATTGAGGTTCCCCCCCGTCATCCTTTTGACAGGTTTGCTTTGTCCTTGTCTTTATTTGAGTTGGCGATGATGCAAACTCTGCGAGTGATACCCCTACAACAACAATTAAGAGATGTTGGGTAGGTCAGGGCGAACCAAAAGGCGGAGGGGGGAAGAGACCACTAACAGGGGCCGGAAGTGCCTGAATCCCGGGATGATTCACCACCACCCTGCTTTGAGCGCGCATTACACAAAGGCCCGACGCAGAAAGAGTCGGCGCTGTCTAGTGCGTCCGAGACGGGATGATATCTCAGGTTAGCAGGCTCGGAGCCCCGGAGATAGAGTGCCCCATAGGCCGAAAACTCCAGACAGGCAAGCTCCTTTTCCATAGCGACGACCTTTTCGATAATACTGTACCGTTGCAGAGTGCTCAGCCCCTCCCAGATCCCATACAAGGCGACCCCGGGAGTCTTCTCCATGATGATACATTCCGACCCGATCTCGTTTGCCAAGTCTGCGTTCCACGCAAGGACGCGTGGAACCGGCAGGGACGTCGACTGACGCACTTGGGAGGGGACGTCAGCATCAAAAAGATCTGTATTGCGTTGCGAGAGGAGGGAGCAGACAGAATTTGAGCGTCGCCACTTCAGAGGCGGTCGCGAAGCAATCTGATCCAGCAATTGTCCGAGGTGTCTTCACAAGAACTTCACGCCTATCATCCATGGTAAGCAGGAAGGCCCTGTGGGACTTTCCTTCGATGATATCCACACATCTACAATTGAAAGACCCGTCGTCAAGCAGGGTTGAAGCCAAGCGACACACTCTGGTGATATCGGCCTTGGAAGGCATGATTGAGTCCGATTCTTTGGCGGTCGTCAAGTGCGCTGGTAGATGGCGAGCACAACGAGCCCAGGCTAAGCCAGGTGGATTCGTTCGCTACAGTACAGGCCGCCTAATGCGCCTCAGCATAGTGTGCTTGCTCTCATCGAGATGTAAGGCCGGGCCTTAAGAGAGAATTGCAGTGCTTTGCTTGCTTTGCAGGCCGTGAGGATTGTTCCATTCAGCAAATTACTAGAAAAAGGATTAGATAGGACTGGATAGGGAGAAGGGAAGAGAGGAGGAGCGGGGGTGCGCAGGAACAAAGAAACAAGTGCAACAAAGAGACAAGGGGTCTAGATCATGTGACATATATTCAACATGAGTACTGTGGTTATACAATATCTAGCATAGCAAAGAGCAAAAAATATGTACTAATCATTTATCCGGGAGAGAATGGTTGATGATGGTGATAACACCACTCACTCCTACTACTGCCTAGTTAATACTCCACAGCTGTGTCCAACATACGTGGCACTCCGTCTATAAGTGACAGCACCCACCCCCCCACCAGATGGAAGCTACCCGTAACCCAAATCTCAGCCCCTGGCTCCTTCAAAGCTCCATTGTAAATCTCTTTGACATAGTCAACGGCATCTTCAATCGAGGGCAGCCACGTCACCTCCGAGTCAGGATCTAGTTCTTTCCAGACTGTCGCTAACTTCTTCTGTAGGATCAGTCCCTGAAGTGCATCAGGATTGACATTGTGAGTAATCAACTCTTTTTGAAGACCATGCTTATTAGCGTCGTTTCTTGCCAAAGTCCTGCCTGCCCAACGGGAGAGCTCATTTACATACCAAGATTGCAAGACTGGTCTGTGTACGTGTTATTCGCACAGAAAACCGCGTATTGAAAGACAACACCAAGCTTGGTGTATATGATACGATGAACAGTCCTGAGTAGCGCGATAGAATCCCTCGATGAATGCCGCTGGTTGAAGATTAGCACCCGCGGCAGGTGTCTGGTCCCTGATACCCGTCCAAACCAAGAGCAGGCGACTTCAAGGCTCTCGTGGGTGTGAGCACCATCCAGATACCAGTGCTGCTGACCCGTGACCAAGGTCTGGCATCTCCCTTTCCAATCCAGGTTCTCAAGCCCTTGACCAAACAAAGCAGAAAGTCTGTCGGACTCGCAGCAATCATCGGCGGCGGCATCCCGAGCCTTGTGGGCACGGGTTCCGCCAACCTAACAGCGGAAGAAGCATTTTGCCTCTGAAAATGCTCTGCAGGCTTGATGTCAAGACCGTGGACCGCAGCGAGCACTTCAACAATGTTAAGGTGGGTTCCCATTTCGATGGCCCGTTCCTGCAGCACATCCATCGCCTGTGGGACCTGAGGTACCGTGAAGGCCGGACAGCCCTTCTTGAAAATTCCTGCTTTATGCCACGCAATCTAATCGATCGTATTCCCGCATGGTCGATTCCGAGGGAGCTGATCCCCGTAACTGCGGGGTTCGCGAGAACATTGGTGGAATCCGATTGCCCCCCAACTCCGACTTCGTAGATCGCCGTGTCCACTGCCTCTTGCATGAAAGCGTGGAATGACATCAAGGTGAGAAATCGAGCGTATGAAGGCTTGGCAGGGGTGTCACCTGGCCCACCCCGCGGTGTTGCTGCTGCTGCTGCGGTAAGCTCCAGAGCATTCCAGATCTCAAAGAAGTACTTTGCAAACTTCGCTTCCGACAGGGGCTCTGAGTTGACACAAATTCGCTCGCGCCTAGTGATTAAATGCGGAGAGGTGAACAGCCCAAACTTACGGGGCGTTCTATACGACATGCGATATTGTTGGAGGATCGAATTGACATAAGCTCAGGTGGTGTCTTTTCCTTTTGTGCGAGCAACATGAACGATGTTGAGTCGGTCCAGATCGCTGATCTTTGAGATTGAGCATTGCATCGCATCATATTAGACAATACTTTCAGGAGCTTGGAGTCAGAAGCAGCCTACCGAGTAGCCCAGACATTCAATCCACGTTCGCGGTCGTCGTTTCCGTGGGTTCTTGAAACCTGTCTGCGTCGAGTTTAACTTTTGAATCACTTCCTGGTTTGGTTGTTAGCTGGAATCGGTCATGGAGGCCATTTGTCGCTGGACTTGAACGCACAATGTAACTCGGTGCTGTTTCCGCCATCTTTGTACAACTAGCATTCTCACAGCCATGCATGTTTACCCCATGCACGGGAGGCAGCAACGGGTCCTTTACATCGGCACAGGCTCAACAATGAAAGTCCCAGTTCCCGTGAGCTGGATATGGTGAAAAACCTTATTCTCTTGCATCGGCTAGTTATTGAAAAAAAAGTTAATAATTTGGAACAACATTGACTCCCACAGGGTACAGAGTTGACTGAAGAGATTAGAGATTATGAAGGAGGTAGCGAGCGATTGCCGCCGAACAGCACTGTAGCGGGATGGGACGAAACCGTACAGCTTTTTGAGACAACTTGTTTGTCATTCAGAAATAATAGCGGTGTGCATTAGCAGGGCATTCATCCTCTGTGAAAGTGTTAGGATGTTTCAGAACGCTGGGTTAGTCTCGTACGGTCAGTGAGGACAACTCTTGTGGCCGGGCTCACTACCCAATGGATCGAGTGGCAGCACACAAGGAATCTAGAGACTGCATGTCTCACCACCAGCCGAGATGCTGTTAGCTCTGTCTCTTCACCCGTACACGACCTTACGCCAATGGCAAGTCTAGCTCGAAATCATCGAACTACAAGGATACCAGCGTTGAATTGTGAAGCTGCCGCTGACAGTTCGATGGAAGGGCTGCCCTTCGTCCTTAAGGAAATTGAGTCATGCATTGTTGGCTCGCGGTTGCCTTCCCGCAATAGAACTTATTGTATCACTTCGTCTCAAGTTATCTGAGGGGTCATAATTAGGCTTGTAGTTGCCCTTTCGCAGTGGTATGTAGCTGGCTAATTTTCTTGAAGCGTATCGTTGAACTCCGGTTGGGTCCATGTACTACTTGGATTCGGTCTCTCAACACCCTGTATCTGTAGATCCCACAGGCGCTACGTCAATTAGTACTACGCATCGATCACTCTCCAAAAGAATAAACTCACCCAATCCATGTTCGTAGGCATATCCAGCATATCGCCGATGACGTCCAGAGAAGCATAGCCCGGAGTTACGCCGTCCATCGGCTGGAAGTCCTGCGCATCTAGCGAGTTTGCACCCTCCAATTGCCAGCTTCCATACGCCGGGGGATAAGCTACATTCTTCTGTCAGAGCAATTTTCAGAATCCAGGAGCTCCTGGCATACTTACCTGAGATGCTTGGCTGCTGCTGCTGCTGCTGCTGCTGCTGATCCTCCTGCCCCGAACGCTGCTGCTTCACCCAACGAAGCATGATCGTCATTGCGGCATACCCCAGCTGCGCATCTGCTGACCGTCGACGCATCTTATCAAATATCTCATGCGACATCTCCAACGCCGACAACAGCTCCTCCTGACCCCGAACCACCACCGCGAGATCATCATTCGTGCCTCCACCGAGCGGTGGCGTCCCTGTGCGCTGATGTGACAATTCCAGACAAATGATCATGGCTGCGAGCAGATAGTCTGCATATTGCAGCGCGTTGGGGAACAGTCTATCCCGGTATAACAGCCCCCCCGGCTGCGTTTCGTGGTAAATATCTGCTTGGTGGCGAAGAATATCCTTCGAGGAACTCATGCACACCCACCGCGAGTAGGCATAGCGGAGGTTGTTGTGGTCTTCGCCCAGATACCTCCGGTGCAACACACACCGCGCCTTCAAGTACAGTAGCTCCAAAGTGTATCGCCGGAAGATGAGGTCGGAGGGATCCGCAATGCACTGGTTGACAGGACGCATCTTGAAAGAGGAAGGCACCTGATCGTGTGCTTCGTCAAGTTGACGGTCGAGAGCCTGGGTCACCTCGTAGGTAACGGGCTCGCGCGAATATGCTAGATCTGAGATTTTGCCGAATATAGTCATGATGCGTGACTTAGCACGAGTGTAGGACACCAACGTGAAGATTTTATCAGGGCGGGAAGGGGGTAGTTCCTCGGTGCTCTCATCGAAGTCCTCGTCGGATATGTTACGGGGTAATTCCACGTCATGTTGCCAGTCTTGGATTGTTCTGGGGACGCCAACCTGGAAACTGATTAAAGTGTCCAGTTGTCGAAGAATGGTCCAGACACGTCGCCGCATCTCGCCGTCAAAGGCCGACATGTCGGGAAAGTGCTTGGGGTCTCGATGGTAGCCTGCTCGGATGGCCAGGCGGATTGTGATACCGAGAAGAAAGGAAACCCCGACTTGTGCGTCGTCACTCCGGAGGAACTCGCTCATAGTGTAGAGAAACAGTGCCTCAACTTTGTACCTGGCAGGCGCGGTATAATTCGACTGAACAAGGCATTGTGCTGTGAGCTTGCGGAACGAATTCTGAGCCTCAGCAGGGTCCTGAGGTGATAGGGGCGTCGGGTCGCCACTTCGCTGATTGAAGGCAAGCGCCATTGCGATGCAGGCAGATAACAGAGCTAGCCATGGCAAGGAGACTTCATGCGGGCGGTCCCAGAACTTATTGTACTGCTGCTGTCAGTTGCGACAGCAAGCCGAACTTTGCCTCCCGAGTACTTACCTCTTTTTGAAACGTTGGAATGTGCGTGATGCCTAGAAACCAAGTATCAGCAGGGCTTTTTATTGCTCTAAATATAGTGAAAGAACAAAGAACCCACCAATCACAGGCTCTTTGCAATTAAGCCACTGCGCCACCAGGCGATCAGTCACCGGCCGCGGCGGTATTTGTGCCAGCAGCTCCTCCTTTCTGAGGGGTTTGTGCAGTCCTAACAGCAAAGTTGGTGCAGTCACGCTCTTTTCATCCTGCTGGGCAAGCTCGTCGTCTGAGTGTACATCTTGTTCGCGCAAATACTCCCTCACTTCGCTGATCTACCCAAAGATTAGTTGGGCCTTCTCAAAGTGGCAGGAACAAGGCAACAGGTTATAGTTAGAAACCAAGTAACATACCTCCTCCAGTACAGCTCTCCAGTGAGCCCCATCAACGTACCTCGTTCCAGCTTCTTGGGCCACCAGCTTCCCCGGGGGGTCAGACGGCGATTCCTCCGGTGTCAGAGGATGGGGCCTTGACGCCAGCCCCACTCCTGATATGCGTTGACTCTCATCAGTCCCAGTATCATCCGTATGGATCCAGGTCGAGTTCGCGAAGGGTGCTTCTCCAGCGTTGGTCGATTCCAGAGCGGCGAAGTTCACCTCTTCTTGCCCGGTTCCCGCGCCATCCCCATTTGTCTCTGTGGGCTGCTCCAGCATTTTTTGCTGCGTTAGTGATAAGATCAGGTTCTCTAGGTGTTGCAACCGATCCTGGACATGTGTGGGACTCGCGCGCCCTTGCGAGGTCTTGCCTCGCGGTCCGCGGCCGACAAAGGTGCAGGAGTTGGCCTCGCCACGCTTCCTGCAGTTGGTGCAGGGGTGAACGCGGCAGCATTTCAATCTGTGGAAGGCATTAGTGACTTCTCATGAGATTACAGAGTCTGAAAGAACAGATGTGGGTGCCATCGTTGGGACACTTGCTTGCGCGCTCTACATGCTGTACAAGATAGTTGAACACGGGTGCGTTTGGTTTCTCGGACGGGGAGAGCGTCATGTAGGTCTGTCATTTTGAGCGGCGGTACCTTTGCAGGCAGTGCTTATAATAACTCTAAGCAAAGTATGTCTTTTGAGGTTAAGGCGTTCTGTGTGACATGTAGACATCTTCCGGTAGGATGATGATGAGGTGAGCTTGTGATGGCGAAGTGGGTGGCTTGCGCTCTTAGTTACCATCGATAACTAACCCGGGGTTTATCTCCGCAATAAGTCCGATGTACTCGTATGCTCGTTCTATACATGGTTTGCCCACGCCACAAAAGCTTGGGTGGAAAAGTCGACTGATCACTACGGTAAATATTTCCATTGTAGTTCTATACATGGGATAATTGAAGGGAGCCTAAGAGTGAGGGGACCTCTCTTGTTAATTCTGCCCACAAAGGCTATCACCCTGCGAGGGTAGTCTCTCGACATATTTTGTTGTTTGATGTAGTGGCAATGATCCTGAAGGAGAACCTAAAGCCCTTGGGTACTAATGTATGTACTTTCTTGATTAAAGCTCTTGTGAGAATATAGAAATATGCCGTAAATAGATCATCAAGATAGGCATTGATGAGCAGCAGTGAGAGCAGAATATAGATTCGGGGTGAGACGTAAGCTGGTGCTGAATTGTCATCCGGAAGACATACAGAGATCAACCATGTCAAGATAAATAACCCGCCCATCTAGCATGAGAAGAGACGCAAAAAATGAAAGTCAGCTCAATGGGAGGTTTTCATTCAAACTTATAGTAGCTGAATGACTATATCTGCAGTAGCAACGATTAACCGCGGAACAAAATCCGCCTCGGAAGCGGACCAAACGGGCAAATTGTAGTTACAGCACCCCAGAAAAAAAGCACCGATGCGCCGCGACCCATCCTCAACTTTCTCACCCATCGCGCCATAGTCCATAATCAATTAATTCCACCAACCTCCAGAACAACAAGATGCGCATATCACTCCTAACCACCACGCGGCACCTCAAGCCCACCCCTCGCCGGTTACTAATCCGGGGCACCCAACAACCACTATCAACATTGACCACACATCCTCTCCGTACCACCGCAACGACGACTACACAGCCCAGCAGCAGCAGCACCAACACCCTCACAACCCTGCCCCAATCCTCCCACCCCACAAACCAACAACAACGTCGAACCTTTCTCTCCTCCTTCCTCCCGGGCAGCGGCTCCAATGGTTCCGATAACGATTCCTCCCGCACCCGCCGCCTAACCGCCACCCGCACCCTCCCCTACTCGCCCGCCCCTCTCTTCGAAGTCATCTCCGACGTGCAGTCCTACT